GGCAATGGCAAGAGAAACAACAACAACAAACAAGATGTGTTTGTGAAACAATGATGCCCCCGTATGCCAGCTTACAATACAAATCAAATATGTTGGTACCCATAGTAAGTTCTTGTCCCGAGGAATATACCTGTGAAATATGAAAGCCCTAGCAGCAACCATTAAAAAGATATGGAAAAGGTTAAAACTTTTCAAAGGTAAGTCAAACATCAAGGTCAAGGTCAAATGGTCAAAATAAATGGTGCCCAAGAAATACACCTGTGAAATATGAAAGCCCTAGCACCAAACGTTCAAAAAATAGTGCCAAGTTTAAAGTTTATGAAATGTAGGTCAAACTCCAAGGTCAAGGTCAAAGTTGTTGGTATCCAAACGAAGGTCTTGTCACAAGGATTACATATGTGAAGTATGAAAGCCCTAGCTCAAATTTTCAAAAGTTATGGCCAAGGTTAAAGTTGGGTAAAATTTTGCAAAACTGGGTCAAACTCCAAGGTCAAGATCAAAAGGTCAAATATGGTGGTACCCAAAGAAAGGTCTTTTTACAAGGAATACACGTGAAATATGAAAGCCATAGCTCCAACAATCAAAAGTTAAGAGGCAATGTTAAAGTTTTAGCGGTCAAACAGACAAACAAACAGAGAGACAGATGGACGGACAGGACAAAAACTATATACCCCCGAATCTTCGATACGGGGGCATAAAAATCCATCTAGTGATAAGATATGGAGAATCAAATCTACGAAATTAAATTTTTAGACCCTGTTACTGCAAAGAGCACAAAATAGGTCCAATTTTGGTTATGATACCGAAAAGAAACAAGATGTGTTTGTGAAACACTGATGCCCCCGTATGGCAACTTATAGCAAAGGTTAAACTTTCTCAAATGCAAATCAAATATGTTGGTACCCAAAGTAAGGTCTTGTGTCGAGGAATATATCTGTGAAATATGAGAGCCCTAGAAGCAACCATTGAATAGATATGGAAACGGTAAAAATTTCTTCAAAAGTAAGTCAAAAATCCAGGTCAAGGTCAAAATTAATGGTGCCTAAGGAAAGGCCTTCTCACAAGAAATATACTGGTAAAATATAAAAGCTGATGGACTAATCGTTCAAAAGTTATGACCAAGGTTTAAGTTTTTCAAAAGAAGGTCAAACTCCAAGGTCAAGGTCAATGGATTACAATTGTTGGTATCCAAAGGAAGGTTTTGTCACAAGGATTATATATGTGAAGTATGAAAGCCCTAGCACCATCGATTCAATAGATATGGCCAAAAATAAAGTTTTCCAAAAGTAGGTCAAACTCCAAGGTCAAGGTCAAAGGGTAAAAGTTGTTGGTATCCTAAGGAAGGTCTTGTCACAAGGATTACATATCTAAAGTATGAAAGCCCTAGCTTCAACGGTTCAAAAGTTATGGACAAGGTTTAAGTTTTTCAAAAGTAAGTCAATCTGCAAGGTCAAGGTCAAAGGGTCAAAATTGTTGGTATCCAAAGAACGGTCTTGTCACAAGGATTAAATATGTGAAGTATGAAAGCCTAAGCTTCAACTGTTCAAAAGTTATGGCCAATGTTAAAGTTTTTCAAAAGTAGGTTAAACACCAAGGTCAAGATCAAAGGGTCAAAGTTGTTGGTATCCAAAGAAAGGTCTTGTCACAAGGATTCCATATGTGAAGTATAAAAGCCCCAGCACCAACTGTTCAGAAGTTTTGGCCAAGGTTAAAGTTGAGTAAAATTTTGCAAAACTGGGTCAAACTCCAAGGTCAAGGTCAAAAGGTCAAAATATGATGGTACCCAAAGAAAGGTCTTGTCACAAGGAAAACACATGTGAAATATAAAAGCCATAGCTCTAACCAATCAAAAGTTATGGGCAATGTTAAAGTTTTTGCGGACGAACAGACAAACAGACAGACAGACAGACGAACAGGGCAAAAACTATATACCCCGGAATCTTCGATATGGGGGCATAAAAACGTTCAATTTTCTTAATACATGTATCATACTAGTAGTGTACATCATGTTATGTAGTTTATTATTTATTATTAGCTTCAGTTAGAGATTGTGTGGGGCCAGAACTGAAAGCCAGGGTTATTGTTAATACTTTTTATATATCAACTTCAAAAATTTAATAAATTTTAATGAATTTCCATATTTAAAATAAAAAAGTGAATATTTAATTTTTTAAAAACTTTTTATACTTTTTTTTTTCAAATATTTTCCATAATACATGTATTACATGTAATACATAGCAATGCTCTATATTTAGAGTAAGTTCCAAACTTTATTAAAATGTAGAAAATTAGACCACACCCTTGCCTATAAATTTGCATTTCACTTTTTAGAATGAAATGTTATTAAAAAATATCAACAGATAAAAACTTGCAGAGAGTTAATAAGAAATTCCTTTTCAATATTATTTCCAAAGTAACCCTTGTCGATCAAAGTTATCTTGAAATATCCAAACCATTATTGCTTTTATTTGTTGAATGTTTAACCAAAGTTAACAAAGAAATATTAAGAAATTATTGCTTTTCATACTTTGTTTCAAAAGTAACAAGACAGCAAGGTTTTTTTTTTAACTTTTAGACACAGTCATTGTCACTTTTCTGAATTGCTGTAAACATTAATAATTGGACTCTGAACATGTTCATAAATGTTCTTTTTTCAAAACTTAGAATACGTTGCCATGGTAACCATGTAATGTAGCAACACATATTTGCCTCATATGAATTAAAGGTATCAAATTCTTGACAACACATATATCAAGTTAAAAGAAATTCTGTGACTATGTATTCTTCTGCTCATATATAAGAGCCAAAGTAAATACAGAGAATGAATCTTTCAAACACTCAATGAAATCAAGTGGTTGTTATCAAAATTGTTTCCATGGGAAGTTTATATAACAAAAATACTTTTATGAGGTCCATAATACATTTTTAATTTTGCTAAACTGCAATTTTAGGACTAAATTTGAAACATTTCTTACCACTGTACATGAATATCTGCCAAAATTAAGCTTTGTGGCCTTGTTGCTATGGGGAATTTGCTGTTGCCATGGAGATAAGTAACTGTACAATAGTCTTTAATTTACTAAGAAGTCTGATTTATGTTTTATCACTTTAAAATTTATTTCTAGTACTCTAAGATAACAATTTATACAATTTTTCTGCGTAAGACTGCACAATTATTCACTTTTTATATATCAAAACATCTATTATTGTTGCTAGGCAACGGACACTAATTTTCAAAAAACCCACGTGTTTGAATTTGGATTTCATCAGAGACATTCCTCTACTTTTATGTGAAATACATGCAAAAGCTGATATTTTTATATGCAAATTTTAATTTGACCTTGAATGTTGCCAAAATCAAGATAAATGCTGAATCAGCAAAAAATGCAAAACATGTATATCTTCCATTGCCTGTTACAGAACTAACTTTAAATCTGATATCTTCGATTTGGGTTCTTAAAACACTTAAAATGTGTATCTTCTTTATGCTAGTAAATAGGAATAATTTTATTCATTATAATTTACATTTCATTTCAAGTCTTAAAGGATAAGTGACTTGTTGTCCTACCACAGGGAAAAATTGGCCGGTTGCTAGGGAAATTTCTTTGACCAGGTTTCCATAGTAACCATGAACTAAAACATTTTTTATTTTACATACAAGGATCATAGTGCAAGAGAAATCTATGTGTTGAAAATCATCAAATTCTGAGAACCTTCATGTATCACCTTTAGGAGTGAAATGGTTCACCGCGGTATCGATTCACTGCAGTATTTTTTCTCGGTTTGATACACGGCGCAGAATCTTTTCTTTTCGATTCGGTTCATTTTTTGGTCGGGATCGTTATTCAGTTGGGTTTGGCATAAGGTAAAACACGTTACACAGTATAAATAAGTATAGAAAACGTAAATTTTTGATGACTGATAGCTTGTAAAATAATTTTTGACAGTCAAATAATTTTAATCAATTTCTTCTAGTCAATTTGCAAATAAAATTTGTAAAATATGTGACTAGATTTAGAAAAAGAAAGCATAAAACAACGTTGAATTTGTTTCCTTCTATCAAAATGTATCGTATCGAAAATAACCGAACCGAGACAAAATTATACAATACGTATCGAACCGGGAAGGAGGTGTATCGTTTCACCCCTAATCACCTTTTGTCTGATTTTTATATGAACTGGTACTTAATCTCTCTAGGGTGTTATCATAATACATGTAGTTAATATATTCTCTATGCACTTCCGTTGCGTTTACCTAGAAGGAATTTTCAACGCGCTGACTACAATGCTGTTTATTATGTATTATTTGTGCAGAATTTATGTACGTGTATATGTATAAAAACTATCTGGTTTATTTCTTTTTTATGTCTTTCTCCTATCAATCATGCAACTCTTTCTCTCTTGTGTATATGTATATTGTATTACATGTATATGACTATATATAAATGTTAATTTACAATGTACTTTCTTTTTGCCCCATGAGGGCCCTTAATTGGTAAATAAACTAATTGTTCAATTGTTCATATAATGTATAGTGGGGGTATTTTTGTGTGGAATGATTATTTTGGGATTTTCACGATTTTTTCCTATGGTACACATGATGAATAAATGTAATAAATATAATTTGTAAAAAAAAAATCTCCAACAAACCTCAAGGTTGAATTGCCGGAGGGGGGGAGGGGGGGGGGGGGTCCTGTCCACAAGTATCTTTGGTAAAATGACATTATCTTTTGTAACATACATGTAAGTACTCTTCATAGCGCTGAGCATCGACTGGGTCTTACTGACATCATAAGCAAAAAGAGATTAGCCGCACTGGTTGAAGATCATTTTTAATAATAATTAATAGTAATTTTGATCGACTCTGCTGTCTCTACATTGCATAAAAAATCTAAAATATATTTTCATGCAGGCTTATTAAAATAGCTCAGATGAACTCATTTCCATACACAACTCAAAAACGTTTCGTATGATCTATAAAAAAAATATCACAAAATTTACCGTATATAATGTCGACGGCTACACTGCAAACTTCAACAAAGCTATTTAGGTAATGATTGGGTAAGCAGTGATATAAAAATAAGCGTGAAGATGTGCAATTTTGAGGAAATGATGAACAATTCTTTAGGCGACGGGCTTGTTCAAGCTCTGACAAGCTCAGAGGACATGATCGTACATAGTTGACCGTATCCTTTGTCTCTGGACAGGAAAGGATCGGCTGAGGATTAACAACCTGTAAAAGATAAGATTTTTTTTATCGCAGATTCTCCCTAAAGTACAGATACATACCGTAAACAAAATGTTTTTGTGAAACACTGATCATGATGTCCACTGTGTCACAGCTCAAGACTACCCCCACCCACCCGGGCTGGGTTTTTCAGATAAGGTGCCAAGTCACTAATACTAGTACATGTATTTGATGGATCTAAGAGGTGTTAACAATTTGTTTAAACATTTTGAGTGAAAATTTATGGTAATTGCTCATTATATTTTTTAATGAATGAAACTAAGGCGCAGCTTTATAAAACATCAAAACTAATAATAACATTGTTTTTTATTACACTGAAAAAATAAATAATTTTTCAAGTATTTGATAATTGCGAAATCTAGATGCATTATTTATCCATTTTTTCTACAGTGACTATAGGTCAAGATCATAACATACCCTCAGGTCATACAGTGTAAGTAATCTTTGTGTAAAGTGGCAACTGCCAACATCCCAACATTATTTTCAATAAGAAAGATAGACCGGACACAATTTATGAACTTTTTCTTTCAGTGACCTTGAACTTGCCAAAATGACCTTGGGTCAAGGTCATGATACACCCTCAGGTCAGGAACAATCTTTGTGTGAAGTAAGTAGATTCAAGTTTATCCATTAGAAAGATTTGGACTAGATACAAATTATGAACCTTTTCTGTCAATGACCTTGAACGTGCCCAAATGACCTTAAGTCAAGGTCATGACACACCCTCAGGTCATGAACAATCTTCATGTGAAGTAGTAGATTCTAATGTTCCTCCATATGAACCGGACACTGATGCAGTTGAATAGCTCTCATCAATATCTATCAGCGTATGAAGCTTGATGAAAATAACTTGCTAATAAATTGCTAAATGCAAAGCGCAATGGAAGTACAGAAGGATGGAAGGTGGTCATGACAAACTCTATATGCCCCGGCCATATTCATGGCGGGGCATAAAAATTAAAAAACACTTAGTCATAATTAATTTACATTGTGACAAAGATTTTTTTAAACCACTTACCTGTAAAAGAAGGAAAAGAAAAATAAAGAATAATATTCCTTTTTGCCAAACTTGAAACACATTTCTTTTTCCTACAAAAAAATATTATCTAATAGAGTTTCCCTCATAGCTTTGTGCTATATAAGGAATGTGTGTTGATTTGTGTCTGTGAGGGTGTGAAAATAGCACATTACAGAGAATGTCACTATTTTTTATATTAAATATCAACCTCAGCATCAAAATAGAGTTCAACTGTGGATAAAAGTATTATTCTCTAAAAAAGAGACATATTGGCCACAACGCACACCTGATTCACTATGGACCTGCTGATCTTCATCAGCTCCCCTATACAAGTAGTTGAACTGTATGTAATGAACTTTTGCATAATGTTCTTGTCTCAAATACAATGTAAAATATTTTGCCCACCCTATACTCATAAGTCATGATTTGAACAGGAAAACTTGAACTTGAATCTTCACAACAAGCATATGCTTCAGTAAAAAAAATGACTAATTTCAGCTTATTTTTCTTGAGAAGATGATATAATTTTGAATATTTTTCCTATAAATTCCTAAGTAAAAGTTTGATCACCCATTGTGGTCCCATCCTACCTCTGGGAGTTATGATATGAGCATACCTCAATCTACACTAAGTAATGAAGTTTTCACAAAATATTAATGTACTAAGTTGCATCTTTTCTGGCCCAGTAGTTTTTGAGGATTTTTTTTTCAGACTCTTAAATAATAGTGAAGAACAGCAGATTATTTTTTGCATTTACAAGACATAGAAAAACACATGGGTCATGTCAAACTTATGTGCAAATACATCGCAAGAAAGTGTAAGATGCATGTGAACCTGCGACACACAGTTTATTTGTAAATCCAAGTACAATGTACTAGTAGTTCTACAACAAGCATCCCCAATTCCAGGAAAATCAAATTGTTTCTACACCTGGTAGAAGCAACTAATATTGCAGGGATATTGCAGCAATCTGATTAAGGTAATTTAGAAAGCTTTAATAATTAGTTAGGAAACAAGAGGCCCATGGGTCACATCGCTCACCTGAGTAACTTTGGTCATGCTGTTCTTTACCAGATTTCCCCCTTGTAATACTTATTATGGCCCTGTCCTACCCCCAGGGGTCATGATTTTAAGAAATGAAATGAATTTAAAATCTACACTATCCCAGGATGCTTCCACATAAGTTTCAGTTTTTCTGGCTCAGTGGTTCTTGAGAAGAAGATTTTTCAAGATTTTTCTTACATATTTCAATGTAAAACTTGGATTCCCTATTGTGGCCCCGCCCTACCTACCGGGGTCATGATTTTTACAATTTAGCATCTACACTACCCCAGGATGCTTCCACATAAGTTTCAGTTTTTCTGGCCCAGTTGTTCTTGAGAAGAAGATTTTTCAAGATTTTTCTTACATATTTCAATGTAAAACTTGGATTCCCTATTGTGGCCCCACCTTACCCCTGGGGGTCATGATTTTTACAATTTAGCATCTACACTACCCCAGGATGCTTCCACATAAGTTTAAGCTTTTCTGGCTTAGTGGTTCTTGAGAAGATTTTTCAAGATTTTTCTTACATATTTCAATGTAAAACTTGGATTCCCTATTGTGGCCCCGCCCTACCCCCCGGGGTCATGATTTGAACAATTTAGAATCTCCACTACCCCAGGATGCTTCCATATAAGTTTCAGTTTTTCTGGCCAAGTGGTTCTTGAGAAAAAGATTTTTTAATGACTTTGACCCCACCCTATTTTTGTTTTTTCTTGATTATCTCCCCTTGTAATGGGACTTGGCTTTATTTTAACAATTAAAACTCCCCTTTACCCAAGAATACTTTGTACTAAGTTTGGTTAAAATTGGCCCAGTGGTTCTTGAGAAGAAGTTAAGAATGTGAAAAGTTTACAGACAGACGGATGGACAGACAGACGGACGAACGGACGGACAGACGGACGATGGACAACGGGTGATCAGAAAAGCTCACTTGAGCTTTCAGCTCAGGTGAGCTAAAAATGATTTGTTATAAATCTTGTCAGATTATTCCATCTTCAATGGCTATTATGAGAAGGATTTTCTCTTATGTCTACCTTTATGACCCCCCCCCCCCTTTCCAAAAAAAAAAAGGAATGGAAATAATTAATGACAAATTTCAAAAATTTAAAAAAAAAATAATATTAGGAATGTAGAACTGTGTCTAATTTGTAATTTTGTAGTAAATATATTGAATAAATGATGTTACATTTACTTATATATTTTATTTTACCTGTCAATTAAGGTTCTTTTCAATCTTATTGATTTTTCCCAATTTGACACAAATGTCGATGATTTTTCCCTATTGTAAAGGCCCAGGCCCCTTTTTAAAAATGTAGAAAAATCACTGCAACAGTTTGACTGCTTGATGTCCAGGAGTACAGAAGACGATTTTTAAAGATTGCATTAATTTTAGTGGTTTTGGCCCTACTCCTCAGGCCCCAGGGGGGCAGGGACCATGAAATTTACAGTTTTTGTTCCCCTTCACCATAGATGCAATATTCCAAAATTGGCTGAAATTGGTTAAGTGTTTTTAGAGAAGAAACTGAAAATGTTCAAATGTTAAGTATAACGCACGACAACAGACAAAAACAGATAGCAATAGGTCACCTGAGTGATTCAGGTGACCAAATAATGACAAAGGACTCTGCAATTTTGTGATGTTTCAAACTTCAAGCATCTCCTGCTGCCCAGTCTTTTAATACCTTTGGGCTGGAGCAATACTTGGATAAAGATACAGGGCAGGGAATACAACTGAGCTTTCCAGGCTGACAGAACATCTAGGCCTGTGTTACAAAAATGAGTTTAAACAATTTGTACTTGCACTTACTTGGAAACCTGCAATATTTTGGAAACATTCTGTCATTCTTTGCAACAGCATTCTCTGTAATTGAAAGCATTGAACATCTTATTCATCAAAAATATATATTCTAATCTACAAATTACAAAATTATTAAGTAGGACAACTAACAAGTGGTTGTGTGATATCTTTAAATGATAAATGAATGAAGATCCAATATGTATGGAACATACATGTTCATGTATGCGGTGAATATATGTAAATATAAATTACACTCAACTCTGAAATGGTGTGCACTTTTTGTTACACACAATAAATAATGCATAAATCCATAACTCTTATTGTCCATCCTATTTTTTCCAGACCAAAAAGAAACAGAAATGCAGCTAGGTAAATGGATGAAAAAGATTGCATTTGATGAGAATTATATATGTGTAGAAGTATTTCAAAAGCAATTTGTAAATTCAATGAGTAGAATAAATTTCACGTAAATATCTTCATCTTATTAATACTCACATGAAAATTAATGACCCTTAATTAGTAAATCAAAACTGGAAATTTTTTTGAACATCTTTTTTAGAAGACAAGAATGAAAAGGTTCTCTCTTAAATAAACATAAATGTAATAATCATTTATTTCATCAAAAAACACACTCAATATACAATGTACTAGTACCTTCATAATTTCTAGTCTTTTTTTTCTAGGTTTTCGAGATATATATCTCGAGATATGCATAAACTATCAAAAATTTGATGCATGGATTGATATATTATTTTTTGACTGATTTTGAATAGAAATGACATAAATAATAAATCCCTAAGATATAAAAAAAATCATAATTTTTCTTTAGTGCTTAGATATGCAATTTTGTGTTGTTTTCTATGTAATTCTAGACAAAATTTTGTACACTGTGACAAAATCTTATAAAATTCTCCAACTTTACCTGGCAAACATTTTTCAGGTTACCTATTTGAATATAAATCTATGAGAAATATTGCTGATTTCTGAAAAAAGTTTGTTTGTGTTATTTATCCTTAAGATTTTTTTTCCCCGTTTATTTATTTATTTTTTGTCAAATTAAAGTTCTCATGTCTTTCAACAATGAGGAGAATACATATTTGCTATTTACATGTAAAAGTGTTTGTTGGAATTACCTTTTTTTGATTTCTATTTTCCATTTCTTTTTTTTTTTTTTTCATTATAATGAACTCATTTTTCCGTCCCTTTTAGGACTTTAGTATATTAGTGTTTCTGCTTTACTCTTAACCATATTTTTATGAAATATATCTGAAATGAAGAATTATAACAAAATGTTAAAAAGGAGATGGGCGAACATAGTGTACAAAAAGCCTATAACAGCTTCAGATATATAAAAATCATGTTCAGTTAGTGAATTTAGTATTTGAGTAAAGATCTCATTATTGAAATTTATAAAATGATGATAAAGAAAACTTTTCTGAGGAAAATTTTCTTGGCAAAATTTATTCTTTCATTAAAAACTAATGAGGTATTAATGGGGCTCGAACCCTGGCAATAAAAATCCTGAGGATCATTTTCTTTCCAGACTAGCACGCCAACCACTAGACTACACAAGTCGGTGATTTTTTTCTACCCATTGGGAAAGGGTCCGGTACAGGTTTAATTGGGGAAAAAAATAGCATATCGAAGTAGAAAAAAGGCGAATTTTCTGTCATTTAAACAAATGAAACGTATTTTGCGTTTATTCCAACCTCATTACCTAATACCCCGTGTTTCAAAGAATAAACAACAAGTATTTATTGTTTTTCATATCAATGTCCCTTGTTTTTGTATTTTCATGCTTTCAGTTTGTCAAAATATATGACTGTCACACTACACTGTTTACACCACAGGTCCCGCCATATTACGACTAATCTCTACTTTTGATTTCACCGGAACTGAAACTATTAGTCAACTTGTTCAATGTTTCATTTAAAAAGAAATATGATGTCATGATCGTAGTCTGTTGCTTGGCAATTGAATTGGGAAATTTTAGTCTCAAAATTGGGAAAAATTAAAATTTTTGGGCATTGGGAGTGGTACCATTTATCGGTACCAGTTATATAAGGGAAAAAAACACTGCAAGTCCTGATTTCTTTTTGATTTTTTTTTATTTTTTCATAGTGGCATTTAAATCATGTTTGTGATAAGACCTTTTTTTCAATTGACTTCAAGTGCTAATGTTATGTCATAAAAGTATATTTTTAAGGTATAGTGGGTCTTTGCTCCCTGTTTTTGGAAACTAAATTATTTTTATGCAAACTATAAGGATTAACTTTCAAAAAAAATGTAGCGAAGACCCACTCATATCGAAAAAAAAGTGTTATGAGAAAATGACTCTTTTTGCCCTTTTTAGTGTGTGTATAATATTTCATAAGCAAATAATTTCAATCTTTGTGAGAATTTTGCCAATACGTTCTATTTCCATTATTGAAGAGTTATAGTTCTTAGTGCGCTCTTTTGTGAAAAAGTTGGAGAATGTACAAATCTCGCGGGATTTCTGGGACAAACGTAACATAAACATGTAAACAACACGTTGAATGTCGATGAACAAATCCTAACAAAATGAATATGAAATATTTTATTGTTGTGAACTTTATTTAAATCAAGAGTAGAGATGACAAGGATATTAATTTACATCTATTGGTGATCGTATGTATCTATTTATCGTAATGGTACATTTAAAGTCAATACACATACCTCGGAAATGTCGTATTTTTATTTATGGACAATAAAGTTAGGGTTTTCGCTCATTTTCATATGTCTTTTAGTTCTTCTATTCTTTAGTTAGAATGACAAATGCACTTAACATTTAAAATTGGTTAGATACTGGCATGTTTTGTATTATCTGCAATGCCATGCTGTCCCAGTCAGACGACCAAACTCTCCTCTAATTCTGAAGAGTTCACTAATGGAAATACAACGTATTGTAGGGTTTGTACATAAGTATATTTTAATGTAAGATGAAATATCAAGGAAAATTTTGATATAATTGAGATTTAATTTTTCACCTTCATGTTTGTCACACTATAGGCTTTTCGCTTGTCATGTTCACCAATCTTCTTTTATTAATGTACGATTTTTTTTTTCTGTGATTCCTGAGCATTCACAATTATTCTCCATTTATATAAATAAAGTGTTATATTACCTTCATATTTGATAGTTTGAGGAATGCATTTCTTTAATTTTGTCCCATTTATCTTGCTCACAAAATCCTTCTTTACTGTATATTTGTCATCTTTTCCACTCCATTTTAAAGAGGTCTTTACTTCTTCCAAAAATATATTATTAGGTTTTCCTCTGGTATGATGAATTGAAAATGATTGTGTTTCCTCTTTGCACACACTTGTTGAAGAATCTCGAATATGCAGCTGTTTCTGTCCAACTGGATATACT